TAATTGACAGCTGAGAGAATTGAAGTGGTCTTGCGCATCATGAACTGCTGTTGAAACATAGTCCAATTAACATGAAAGATGCGAGGGAAACACGGAACCAAGTTACGCAGCATGACGCATTAGTCACACAAGGACGGGTGTAAGGGAACCCATCCGCATTCCAAGTGATCGGGTAACCCTGATCACCCGTGTGATATTGCGAATATGCAGTAGGACAATGTTCGCAATTAGCTGCATTGGGCAATTTTAACCAGCATCTATTCTGGTATTATTTTCATACACTTAATCCTTTGTAAATATAGTTCATCAGTAATAATTGCTTTATTTACTTCCCATGAAATTCATTTGAGGACGCATTGAACAATAAACACTGAAATCCAATCCAATCTTAATTCTGAGCTATTCAAAGGTATATTCAAAGCTTCCCACGCCTTTCTGAAGTGCAAATCGTGTTTCATCTAAAGAAGTTTATCTGAAAGAATCCGCAAACACAACCCGACCTGGCAGAGTAATGGGGTAATTAGGACCATCAGCCGATCGATCGTTTCATACCCAATGGAGCTAAATAAAGTGGTTAATATGGACCAGGCGTTTCGCCCCATCTACGAGGTTCGCAGTCATCGATCTAAAAGGATTTTATCGCATTTTGACCGCAGCAGAATCGATCGGAATCCGCCTAAATACCTTCCTCCCCTTCCCGTATGATCACAAAAATAATTATTAAGATCACTCGGTCTTCCCTGGCCAATAATACAAGACACAGTCACCCCTCAGCACCATTAAGGAACCGAACCCATGCGTATGTGAAATGAATAAAGTTTGAGTAACATTTGATCGTGGAACTAGAATATTGATTATTTTTCTCCCCACTATATTTATGTATATTATATTTATATTTTCACAAATTGTAATATATTAATCTGTAGATGGACCACCGAATTGGCGGTTATTCGCTGCTGTTATATGTATATATATTCAAAGGAATTGAGCTGAAGAATTAGCCTGAAAATAATATAGAAACAAAAGAATCAATTGTTCTTTTTCTCCCATTGTTACGTGTGCCGACCGGGGAGTGGGGTTTTGACTGAACTGTAAAATGGCGCGCTCATAGAAGTCAGGCTAGTTATGAATACAAAATTATTCCTTCTATCTAAAGAGTTATATATTTTATTACCAGGTGCAGAGTGATATTTTAAATGTTGGCTTGTATTACTTATCAAGATGAAGGTATACTTTGTCAATGCGTATGATTCACTCCTTGCGTCAGATTCTCAAACACACTTTCCAGATATTGCAACCTGGCAGACAAGCTTACCTTGATTTTCTTCCCTAAAATATTGCATTGTAGTACCGCGTGACAGTAGCAAACGAAATAATACATCGGATCCCATTTCAACTCACCCCCTCGATGTCAACTTTTTCCGATTCCATGTCGGTCAAATGTACCGGTGCGACAACCAGAAAATAATGCCGTATTTTTCCGAATCGTTCGCTCACTCTGGTTAACTGTAAGAGGACTTGACGTCTGGTGGCGGATACAGCAACAGGAATCGGAGGCGCCACGAATGATGGTTCTGTTAAACAAAACAATGATGATAACCCAGTGGTCAATTCATAACTGACATAAAAATGCTGTATCTCATTCATCACGGTTATTGTATAATGCTTTCACTGGGCCTGGATGCCGATATGACGTCAATTTATCACGACTGTCATTATTATCATTTGAAAATGGATTTATGCGTACCTTCTTATACATGTATAATATCCGTTTGCAAAGCATGTACACAGGAGTAATATTCTTAATTTATCCCTCAGTTAAAGCGTGCAATAATGTCAATAGGTTTTCTGAATTTGTACTGCTTATGACATCTGACAAAGGAAAACTAGTTGTCGGATGCTTCCCAGCTTTGCATTGTACGTTCAATTAACCTTCAAGTTTGTGAACTAACTTGAATTACTTTGAACGTAGCAGTTCAAAATGCAGTGGTCGCAGGGCAGGTCTTGTGTACGAAGTAGCTAAATCGCACAGGACAGCCCGGGTTTTATCAGAGAAAGCTAAATTATACTTCTCACATAACCCTTCTTTTGTTTCTTCTGCCGTTAAAATGATTGATTTCAACACAGATACTTAGCTTTTTCTCACGTAGGGGAAATAAGGTGTGCAGTAAATAATTAGATCCAACGGGCCTACTGAAGTTTGGATGATGCAACTTCGTCCATCATCTTAATGACTCCCTATTCATGTACATATTTGCAGTCTCACTTATCGAGTGCGGTTGCCACTCCGCACTCGGAAATAAAGCAACAACGAACACAATTAAGAGTTTTGCTATTCTGGTTTGGATTTCACCACGTGATCAGTTGTAATTGCCCAAAGCACGCTCCTAAATGGACACGGGCTCTGCAGCGGTATGGCAGATACACCAGTGCAGTGTGGAGTAATTAGTTTTCTGGTTAAATTAATAAAATTATAGATTGAAAAACCATGCACCCACAGATCAAATGCATTTTTGAATTACTATTAGGCATATGGGAACAATGTCCTGAAAAACAATTAATCGATCACTACAACCTTTAAAATCCTAACCCAATAAATATGCATTGAATTCAAATTTTTGATGGAGATCTAAAAGGTTTTCAATCGAAATAGATTAGTGAACATTCTCTAAACTGTGACTGAACTGGAAGCAACCAATCATAAAATAAAGGTGTAAAAGCAAATGGCTGATAAACGGAAAATCATCGATGCAGCTGTTTTGGAGAATCTTATTTGTGCATCGAGAAAAACTCGAAACAAAGTGAAAAAAACGTCGAATTAGTTGCTTTTTTGCCCAGAAATGCAACAGATACGTTCTATAAAACAAAAGCTGGAAATACCATCACCTTTGCAATTTAAGATATTGATTTGTGGACTACTGCGATGAAAGCAAAGTGTATTATCCCATGAATGTGTGTTCAACGGTCTGAATAACCTTCGGGATAACAGAATACGATTGTAAAATCCGGTGGCCGAGTGGGCTGGATGTTCGCTTTCTACCTGTGAGGTTCCGGGTTCGATCCCCAGTTAGGTCGATGGATTCGCACTACTGATGAGACCCAACCAGGTCGAAACAGTTGGCCAGCGCTCTCGAGCTTTCCATTTCACGCTTCCTTTGCTCTATACACGACGACATTCCTCTTAGAAATTATGAAATCCACTAACTCGTTGCTAATCAATCGATTGTAAATGCAGGTTTTGCAAACTACCCTCCTCTGGAGACTGCGATCACACAATCGTTTATCAAGACAAAAACAAGTTATTTAAAATATCACAGCGACTCCAGCGTTGATTCGGCTGTGGATTGGGTAAAATGGGAACGTTCCAGTAAAACACTCATACAAAAATTCCATTTTACATTGTAAATTAGGCACCTTGTATTTAGCATATTGCCAGTTTAGGTATCACAACCGATAGCCAAGTCATATCGAGCAACTGGATCTGATTATATATATACGAAAGGAAAACCAGATATATATATATATACATATATATATATATATATATATATACCGACATAGTAGTGCGGTTTATGTCGCTAACGGTTGTCTGGTTTTCCTTTTGAACAAGGACCACGACGTCGTCAACAACAACAACAACTCTATCTTTTTTCCACCATTTTTCTTCCCGGTCCTTGGAGCACTATCCGAAGTTTGCGTGAGGGATGTTAATGAAATTTTCATGTTTATTTCACTTTTATTAATCCCCGGGGCAAACAGAGCACTATGGAAGCAGTTGTTGAAAGTAGTCTTGATTTCTGTTAATTTGTAATTAATAAATATCAGGAACAACAAAGCAGCAACAACAACCCGGCGTTCAAGTTACGAAGGGCACACCCCCACACACACCGCACTCCGTTCGCCGATTATCAGTCTGAGTTTCGTATCACCAAAGAAAGCATGAAATGTCCGACTCTCACGCATTGCTGCTCATCTGGTAATGAAATTTCTTACGCCATCACCACCACCACCTCTTCTCGCCTTTCTAACAATGCGTGGATGTCTGTCGTCTATGTTAGTTTAGCTATCCATCTGTGCCTGTCTGTTCATCTTTCTCTCTCTCTCTCTTGCGCGCGCGCGCGCTCTGTGTGCCAACAACTGATCTGTTGTCGAGCCATTTGTTTCGCCTGTGGCATGCGTACGTTAATACCTGTCGTGATCAGTTGGTCTATCCATCTATCAGTTCATCTATTAACTATACACAGTGAGCAGTCAGTTTGAGCTGCACACACGCACGCACACATACATCCGTTCACATAATTTGCTCTCTGGCCTCATACAAATGCACACAAACTTGCTGAGCCAGGGTAGAGAGCGAGGTATATAATCATCTCATCCGTCCTGTTTCAGTTCGCGATCGATAGCATCTCAAGCTGAATGATGCTCAGGAGAAAACACGAGGACGAGTAGGAGGTAATGCAACAAGGCGGTTTGGGGTAAGGTCATGTAATTCGGATGGAGGAAACGAGCAGCGTGCGAGACAAAATATTTATTTGTGCTCACTACCTAAGGTTGCGCGAATCATCCACACGGGGGATTGTGATGAGGGTGATGGTGATGACGACGACGATGCTGCTGTTGCTGCTGTTAATGATAATGATGGTGATGAACTGCTGATACGTATTTGCAGAAGTCAAGTCGAACCAGATCTCGACGTTAAGAATAACAAATCAGTATTATATGGCTTTAAGAGAATGTTTTTACAGACCTTGGAGTCTATGGGACTCAGTTCTATTCACGAATCAGCACTATCTACATAACCATAAATATCCCCAGAATGGTTCCCAAAATACGACACAGACAACGAAGACTTTTCGATCGTAAGGGAACAGATTCATTGAAAACATATTTGATACTGCTCTCCCCCGTTTATCCTGCTCGAACCACAGCCGTAGGTCATTCAGTTCTTCCATCTATTGGTACTGTGGTTTACTCGTTTTTCCATCCTCTCTTCCCGCAGATCAAGTTTGGAGGAGCATATCAACCAGGAGATTCAGAAGCCGTGCATCATCATGGCTGATTGGGTGAACTTCTGAAGGAATGATTAAGGAGGGAAGTTTATGACTGAAATTGAACACAAGCAGAACCGCAGCAGCGAGAAAAACCCAGACCAAAATCATGAATTAAACGGTAGTGTTCTGTCGCTCAAAATCACTTCGATTTCATCAAGTGAGACGAGCAGTTGCTGGGTGCTGAATCGGCTGCACTTGCCAAACAAAAACAACCTTTTCGGATCCTTCTTTCTTTGATCTTTTTCATCAACACAGAAAGCCATGCAAGGGTAGAATCGATACCTACAACTCACTCCGGTGTGAAAGCTCCATCAGTTTGATGCCCAACCAGAAGGCCTAAACATATCCTTCAAAGCTGATGTGGAATTTATCATCAGATACCGTTGCACAAGATTTCCTAGACCTATGCGGAACACCGAAGTCGTTTATGGTCGTCGACATTTTTCAAATGAAAGGTATTTCAGGAAACCGCACTTAATTGCTAAAAACGCTTACGAATCAATTTTATTTTTACCGCGATCGTGGTTAAATCCAAACTATTTCTCCCTATGACGTTGTGCGACCGGAAACTTAGAGAACCAGCAGAGATACTTAGACGCACTGGTTCCGGTACCTGGGACTCCTTCAAGATTTTCTAAGTTTCAACACTTTGATTGCTATAGTTTGCAGTCATCCGTCTTAACTTTGTACTCCACACACCTGGCTTCTTCTTAAACATCTTATTTATTTAGTACACAAAGAAAAAATCACTTGAATCCTCAAGGTTTTGGAATGCTCAAAAGACAGACCAAGGAATAAATTCCACTTGTTAAACCTCAAACCTTTTTCTCCCCTGGATGAATATGCCAGTTGATAGTGGATTTTTGAGAACCAGGAAGAAAGCAATCAGAATGCAATTAAGCGAGAAATCCGAGTAGCCGCAGTCGGATTCTGGCACACTATCATGGAGTCAGTGACGGATAAGTGGAGTTTCCAAAGTTCCTCCGTGCTCTTCTCTCACATTCCAGGAACTGGATGACATTATTCAATCTATCCAATTCTATCATTTGTTTGAAATTTCATGGGTTTTTAACGTTACACGATATCTCACTTTCTTTCAGGAATAGACAGTTATTCAGTCAGTTTTCCGCAATCGGTTAGAGACCATCTTGGGTCTGTGCTAGTATCAGTACAATGGTAGAAGTTGGACCTCTTTGTTGGGATTCAGTCAGTGCACCAGTGTGATGCTCGGTCACATCGATCGAACACCACTACATAAATCTTCCTATTGGATGGTACAAGACGTGTGTGATGAACTTAGGGTTCAAAGTATATGAGTAGTACCACTAGTCACATTCTGTTGGCGCAGCACTGAGGTCCCATTCATCTTGACCAGTTTGGTCTGAATTTTACTCCAGAATTTTGGTGCTATCTTTTACATCCTGATTATATGGAATGTATGATAGTAGATAGAAAAATCAGCGAAAATGGGTTTTCAGTCTGTTTGGAAACATTCAGATGCGAGAAGAAAGTTCATGTGATCCTTGGGAAATTATCTCCAGGTTGTTACCTAATGCGCATATTGCGGTATATTCATATTCCTCTTTTATTTCTAGTTGAAACAGGTGAGAAACGCTCACAGATCCCAATCAATTTTGGTAATAACAGGGGTTGACACTGTTGTGGAGGTGGATGAATATATTGCACGACGTCGCGTGTTGTACAATGTATATGTGAGCTTCTGTGTCCATCTCATTTGTTCACAGATGTTAATAAATTGCATGGGAATTGCATAATATTGCGATATGAACATGCAGATTCAAGGGGTTTTGACCACAACGTTGATAAGTTATTGTCTTTAGAACATTTATTCCGATGGATTCCCAGGCAACTGGCTTGAAATGTGGAAAATTGAACCAGTTGGTGACCATATAGATAATGCACGCGTGCGAGAACATAATAACGTTGTACGATTAACTTTGTCTTAAAAAAAACAAAGAAAATAGTCGAGAAGATCTTTACAACTGTTCAGACCTTGTTGGATCTCATCGGCAGCGTGTAGTGTGCTGTACTGTGCAAAGGCAAAGAGAAAACCGGTGTGGTCAACTGCCCGACAGTCAAGCGCATATTGTGATTTTATTCCATCGGTTAGATTCCGAGGTTCGAGCCCTTT